TTCCTCTTGAAAAGCTTGTTCCTTGATACTTAATAGTGTTTTCCCCAAGCGCTCTTCAAGTTCATTTGCTCCATTACGAAACTTGTTGCTATAAATGTTGCAAAAGAATCTCATAATAATAGTCGTAACTTGCAACTCGTGCTTTGTACACTTCCTCTAACAATATTACTTCAATCAAAAAAAGGTCAGAGACCTTTGTTCCCTTTCTTTCCGATTACGTATGTTATAACACTCTTTAGCTTTTCATCTGTGACTCTCTAAAGAGAAGTAGTTGAAGATAGCTGACAGTAACTACTAATACCATGAAAGATTGAACGAAGAAATCCGCGGATGCGCGTACTTTCTTGCCTCGAAGAAGTTGAACAAGCACCACTAAGAAAATCAGTAATCCGTCTCAAACTGAAGTTTCGTAGCTCTCGAGATCTCATGGCTTGACATTAGAAGGTCTAAAACGTCTGATGCTTTCATCCCTTTCTGTCGGTTCTCCGAGGTCACTAATGCTCTGTGTCATCCTGTTGCGCCGGATTTCCGGTCAACCGCGTGCTTTCCTTTTTGCTCGAAGAAACAACAACGCGAAATGGATTCTCGACGACCGCTGGACTAATTCCTTCCATCGAGGAAGTAATCGTAAAATCCTATTATTGCACGCGTTAATGTTATATAGGCCACCTCTCAGGGAATATTGCAAGCTGCGTCGACAAGGAGTATAATTTTCTCATTTAAACGCTGCTTTATCGGGAATGTTTTAATCGTTGCACGTGATACCGACGGGCATGTGCCGTTTTTAACTAAACCCTCGCGTATACACCGCGGCGTTACGTCCCGTGATAAACGCTTTTAAATGAGGAAAGAGAAAGAGAGAGAGAAAGATATTGTACGCGAGCATGTATTATTTAAAGGTTCGCAATGAACTCGTACGTACGGTTCCGTTTAATTGACGTATTTCCGCGAAGCAGAGCTACCGCCGAGAGAATTTATTATTCGACCTGATGTTACTATAAAAAGTGTGTGAATATTGCGTTGAGAAGAATTCTCGCTTCTTGATGCTGAATATTTTGGGTAATTGTTAATAGAATCAATATTTTCTATCTTTTATTTAATTCTTCTATTCTGTAGAAGAAATGATTGTAAAAATTGCACGAAAGAACAAGATTTTCAGAATGAAAGTAGATCGATCAAATTATAGCCAGGCATAATCTGTATGCAAGCGAAGATAAATATTGGATAAGAAATATATTTTCTAAATCTGCATGCGATAATAAGGAGAAGAAAAAACGTGGAAGTAATCAAGTGAATAGCGAATGCGAAATAGATTCATGAATGATTTTTACATAAATCTTGGAACAGTGACAGAAACGTGTATTTATTTCCTATTTCTTTGAAATAATACACTTCTTGCTATAATCAAGAGCAATCTGTAACTTGTTCATAGTAATAAGCTGCTTTTTCATATTTATCACAGTTAGCACCCTAAGGGTGTAACCTAACTATCTGAAATTATCGTTTTTTTTTCTAACTACACAAGCTATGCAAACATCAGTGTATGGAAATATATGCGATTTTACAGGCAAGTATATACGTATTACGGCTTTTACGGCGTATCGATGGTAATAAACTGTTCCTTTTCCCTTAGAATTTTTTTATGTTTAACGCAAGCCATTTGTGTGTTAGCGTTTTAATCGTAGATATTTATTTTTCGAAACGAGTATGATAATTTAGTCTGTCTAAAATTGCTTCTAGAGATACTGTGCATGATGTTATATATGAAAATTGTAGCAAATTTAATTACCGCATGCACGCACGTAAAAGAAAATGACGAGATTCTAAAAGCATAAGATTGCTCATTCGACGCACTTTATATTTTAACACCGGAATTATCAACGACAGAACTTATACGAGTATAGCGAAACTACCACCTATTATTTCAATCTGCTCTTTCCTTCCTTTCTTAAATCATCGATTAACTGGAGGCAAATTCCGCCTGAACTTAACTCGATTTTTATCAGGCGTTCCATTAAGGGCCTGTGCTTTGCTTAAATCGATGAACACAGAGACGACGTAATGCTCGCAAATTTATTTCAAACAGCTTTAAATCTGTACGACGGGCGCAATTAGAGCGGAAGAAATGGATCTTCCCTCGAAAATGTCGATCCTTAGCAAAAAAGTAGTATCTGGATTAAAATCGGAACATACATGTATAGATAAAGCAAAATATGTATATAAATAAAACTCTATATGCATATCTATCTTCTTAATTTATTTCACTAAATTAATATGACGTTTCCGTCCAACGTAAGTCTTTCGGAGACCAAACTGCCAAACTGAATCCAGTCTCTGCTGTAAAAATACATTGTAATCATAGATACTTAGACAGGCAACATAAAATATTTCTACTATTACAATTCCTAATAATCTTAACTTATTGAACGTTAGAACAAAACCGAAGCAAACGTTGAAAAGGTACTTAATTAATGTATATACTGTACGAAAAACTGGAACGCATTCTCACACGGCAACGGTGCGGAATGCCTAGCGAACCAAGAGGAGAATGGAAATAGGAGCAACAGAATTTCTGGCACCCACGGGCAGCGTTTATTGCGCGCGTATGAACAAAAAGTATGTTAACCGGGTTGGGTGTAACGAAAAAGTGCAGCAGCACAAGAGGACAGTTGTTCCATCCAGTCCATTTGGACTTTATGATGTTCTTATTTGTTGTCGCTTCGCTATAGGGCACTTAACCCAATTAGCACATCGTAGCCTCACTCTTGTATACTTATCTGTCTAGCTATCTACGCGCTAGGAAAGCTTACACACGTACCATAGCCGGAATCTAAAATACCACTCCCCACATACTTGCATTAATTTAATTAATTTCGGGACGCACATATACGGTACATAATTACCGAAATGAAATTATAATAACTGGCTCCCACGGGGGGCAGCTTGGACGCTTTCGATGCCTTTTTCGAATCTACTTCCGTTCTTTTTACTACCCGAAACTGAAGAGTCACGCACACGCGTTTGAAATATAAAACTAAGGGTTTTATTAATCGTTAGGGGAAAGATTAGAGCGATTACGCGCGTTGCCTGTGCTACTGATTAATCTCGTTTAATAACGCAGTTAATGAATTTTGTTAGGTGGGGCATACGCTTGTGTAATAACTCAAAGTAACACGAATCGTAACGTTGCTGCATGCGTGAACTGGCACGGACTGTGCTATAAATTATAATACCTGCTTTATGAGTCCACCTTCTTTTCTTCGTGCGTGAAGAATTAAAGGTACGCGGTGTAACAGTGAATTCTGACTTTGTTAATATAAAAATTAAATTTTTCGATCCAGATCTCGTAGTTTGAGTATGTTTTATATAGCATTAGTCTGGTACATGCATCTTCGACGAATTTTGAAATTCGATTTTCTCGAAAATGAAGCACTGTAGAAGAAAGTCTTATTCGATATTTTCACCCTGTATAATTTCAATAACAAAACTTGACGGTTTCAGTTATTATTTCATACCGTCTTCATCTTCTACGTAAATTAATAACGATGAACTTCATTGCACGAAGTTGAGAAGTAGTCGATCTTTTATATAATTAATGCCCCTTAATCAAGTACTTAAGTACAATGTGTTAAACATTCGTCTTCAAACAGGAATTTTATATAAGTTAATCTATATTATTTAATAAATCTAATCCTATGTGTAGCCTAACTTAGTACTAGTTAATTAATCCAATCGCCAGCTTCTATCGCCTCTCGTAAAAGGCTACCTTAAAGGGAACTACAGGATAAATTTTTCATTATATTATTACTATTAGTTTATAATCATTTCGTGAAAAGACGTGTATGATATTGTAACGGTACATAAATTTATTGCATATTTTTTCATTTGCCTAAAAAGATGCAAGAAATTCTTTCTTCTAAGGAAGTAAGAAAGCTGATTTTAAGGAGAAACGGGATTTCTGCAGTCAGACACTCTAAGAACCAGTGCATTAAGTATTACGTATATGTTATCATAATAATTTTCTATACATATTGCCAAAAACCATTGTCCTAATTTGCCTTTAAATTAAACCCTTGCCCAGTCACGTAAAATCCCGGTTAGCAAGAATCCTAATGCATCTATGAAGGTATTTTAAATCCTGAAACTACGGCCGTTTATATTTTCAAGAGCGTAGAATCATCTTTTTTGCATGGCACAAAAAGCTTCTTTATTTCTTAGAGCTTGAGTCGGAAAACTGCTTCTTTCTACAGTAAACGTTTTTATTCGGTAATAAACAATTCTCTGATTCATTAATAAGGACCCTGTTTTTTCTTCAAACTTTCTATTCAATAAATAACAGTGTCATTTATATCGCATAAAATGGCAACCAGTTAGTTTTCACAAGCTGTTAACGTTATGTCGTCGAACATTCTTGCTTCAAAATTAACTTTATATATTTGTATTGTCTCGAGTTATCTATATTTGTATCGAACCATTTATATATTTGTAGTCGTCGTTCTTCGATTCCATACATTTCATAAATGATTTTTTCGCGAACCACATTTAGATTCTTAACCGGTTAGCTGTTGCGACCTCTTTGAATAGTGTATACCTAAAATGTGTAGCAAAAAGTAAGCGATGACGAGTATACTTGTGAAACACAGAGTATGTGTAGCTGTTAGAATATTGAATTCAATTGTAATTAAATAATTGTTTTATTTTTTAATTTTATTGCTGACAGGGCTCGTCAAAGACAGCTAACAAATTTTCTCAAAGTATTGTAACTCTTGCAGATAACTTTCACAAATTTCTTCGCCGTACTTTGAATCGTCATTTTTCATAAAAATAGATTTATCGTTTCTTTGAGAATCCAACTCAATTGTCAGCTTTTATATGAGATCAGTAGATATCATAGTACTTACTGTAAGTTAATCGACTGTAAGTTACGAATGATCTGTAAGTTCTTCGATTATTTATCACGATCGAGGTCGGTACGTGGTCAAGGAATTTTTAAGATTTGCTTATTAGATGAAAAGTTTTACGATTCGTATTGCAGACACGAGAAGCGAGGAAGGTACGATAATGGTAGACGAGTGGAGAAGTAATGGAAGAAGACAGCGAATGAGTGAGTGAGTTTTATGTTTTATACCGGGCGTAATGTTTCGGGATTAGCATAGTACACGATTGTAAAACCCCGTAGTAGCGCGATACAGAAGCCACAGAGAAAGCATCTCCGCTTCCACTGACTACACGGCTTGCGTTTAACGTCCGAGTTTGCCATGTTTTTCGCGGCTGCGAAATTATTTTCAGAATCTCCCTGCTTCCTCGCCGTTTTTCCGCTTTCTATAGCTCGACCCTTGCAAATGCGACCGGCTGAACGTGCCACAGTACTAAGTTGCTATGGAAGACGCAGAACCACAAGAAAAGAATTCTGTTTCGGTATAGCGCGGTATTAGTGGTTAAGCAGAAGATTCCCGCAAATATACAGCTGATGAGTTTGAATACGACGAGGACGGTAGAAAATTATCCACAAGATGTTTTACTGAAATGAAAGCATTCCTTTAAAAATAACGATGCTGTGTAAATGCTGTTAAGAATCTTGCCGAGTTCAGAGAAACGATTAATTAAACTGTTTCACGTTTATTTTAAAATTGCGATATTTCGCAATCAAATTTCTAACGTAATTTTTTTATACAAATTAGCGTATCATTTTTATTTTGCGTTCACTTTAACCTGTAATTTATACAAATATTACGTAGTTTCATTGTGAAATGTCAGTCCTATTTGACTTTCAGTGGCAACAAAGATACGAACAAGGTAAATACAATGTCTTGTTAAGTGAAAAATACAGATGTACGCGCCATTTCATACTTCTAACACATTTACAAGTCTACATTTATCTTACATGAGCGAGACTTTTGTCACGCATTTTATTTAAAGCGACGTGAATATCCAACGAGAAAGATATTCTTTTATTAAAACACTAAAACCTTGCAACACTTCGTTAGTTATTGCAAAAATTTCGAAAGAAATACCAGCAAAAACATCGTGTTCCCTTTACGACTTTACCATCTTAAATGGCTAATGAAACCAGCCTTGAAAACAAAATCATGCCCATTCGAAAATGTGCATATACGCATTACATAAAGATTACGAATTGGGACTCGTTTCCCCTGCTTGCACAGGCTGCATCGATACAGAAAAGAACGGATGCTAGCGTAGAAGCACAAACAGCAATTTAAAGGGGAAAAATCCATGGATATTCGGGAAAAAGAGGTGCGCCGATCGTTCGGTTCGTCCCGTAAGGCAGCATCGAAATTTTCTACTGCAAGAAACCAATTTGTTTGCCGATAGGGGAACACAGGGGGTGGCGAGGCGAAGCATGGCTCGTATCGGTGATCAGAGGCACGAGTGAGAAATTTTCTCTAATTCGGCCCGATGAGAAATGGACGTCCGGTAGACATAGAGAGTCGAGAGCTCGTATAGCGTATCGTATCACATCGCGTTCTATCGTATCGTTTCGTATCGTATCGTATCGTTCCGTATCCTATAGTATCGTATCGCGTGGAGCGGTAACGCGCGCGTCCGCTTTATTGTTCCATGGAAAAAGAAAACGAGGGGAGGATGGCGCGGAGCCGCGGAGGCAATCCGCGACCGGAAATTTAAAAAGTTGCGCAAATACGCAGGCCACGGGGGAGTTAAATGGGAGCCAAGGGGATGCGCCAGTGGAAGGGGCCAGTTAGTAGGTTCCCGGCCTGCGGGACAGAGACGGAGTTGCAGGCATACTTGGAAGGTTACGCTCGTGAAATTACGTAGTTCCGAGCAATTCGCATCCGAATGACTCGTGGAGGATCAAAGGCTTGCACGCCAGAGGTTGGCATCCTCTACTGATACTTTTTCGAACACTCACCAACTTTACTCTCTCAGTCTTTTCGTGCCTCTTTCACCTGACAGCAACACGCTTGATAGCTCCAAATGGATAGAGATTATATCGGACAGTTCGCAGAAAATCAAGGGGTGCCTCCTCACGGAATAAAGAGATTAACTGCTCCTCGAAAAGAAACCGTTATTGTTTTACGAAACACCAGTTTAAGCGAGAGAAAAGTTTCTGTAATTTAGCGATTTCGATTGTTGTTTAGATTCTTTATATACTTTGTTTCTTCCACTGAAATTAACATTTTCAAGTTTTCGTGAAATGTAGGAGCGTTTCTTTTTATATATAGAATATCATCACTCGTAATGTTTAAGAAGCAGGAAGATCTCTTTCTCATATTGAGCGATACGACATAAAAAATAAATTGTCTGCCTATCAAGTACCGTTCTACGAAATTTTAGTTTTTATAAAACAAGAAAAATCTCCGTGGATCCTTATAAAGTAACGGTAAGAGTGTTAGAACGTCAGATGTCGTCGTATTGGACATCCGTGGCCCGTTTAAGCATAGCAGAAAAAGTAATTTATCAAAGGAAGATGCAAAGCATGAATCATCGACGAGTCGCCGTTCAGTGTCGCTTTCTCCTAACGTTCTGCGCTATTGCATAACAATTAATTTCTCCATCGTTGTAGCTTGCGAGGTTAAAACAATAAGAGTACGACCAGGGTATCGCGAAGATTTATTGGCAATAATTTCAGTCGTGCGTGCGCCCATGAGCGACTTCGATGCAGCCATGAGCAGGCTCTGCACGGTTAAAATTACGTTATGCTTCGGTCGACAATTTTATCGCGTACCTACCTTAATATTGCATTTAAAGTTCCGCTAATTAACAATAAAATTACTTTCGAACATATCGTTGAAATACAATTTTTCCCAACGAGGACGTTCCTAATAGGTGAAATAAAAAGACGCCATCGATCAGTTTTACATGTAGCTTCGGGTGATCTTCAATTAGCAATATTGTAACTGAATATTCATTCGAATGTTTAAGCAACCAGAGGTCGTAATATTTATTCGCGGTTCGATACTGAGAATGAACAGAAAGAACAATATTTCACGGTTGAAACGTGAAGTAAGTGCAGACGTAAGAAAACATGGTAAAAGTGATCATAAAAGTTGCGATATTAATGATAAACAAACGGTACGTACGGTTCAGGAATGTTTGAATTCATCGTTCGTTTTATTTCACGCGAATGAGCAATGAAATACAAATATAAATCCACATGTTATAAAATTCCATCGATCCGTACGAAAACGTTTAATTTGTTTTCACGCTGTTTGTTTTACATGAGAGAGAGAGAGAGAGAAGAAGCTTTTTGCTTTTTCTAGTACTAACTCGTAATAACAGGAACGTTAATGGAGACTTTTAATCTATAGTTGGTAGTTACGTATCAATGAATTACTATTGGATTTTGTGGTTTTATTTAATAACGTGGAAAACAAGAGAATATGGCAATAAAAAGTTTGTATGTCAATAGAAAAATAATCTTTTCTTTAAGCACTATCCTCGGTTAATTTTCATATTTCATGGAACTATTCTGTTCGATCTTTCGTAAGAGGAGATTATCTTCCAACGTAAATTTCTTTTAAATCCATTGGAAAAGGTTATTTTCAATGCCATAGACAGACTGCATCGTAGGATCTGATAGCCAGTGCTATTTATTCTTTCTGATCGTATTAGTAGCTGTCCGAGAAGCTTGCAACGAATGCCTTTTGGCCGTAATGTAGCAATTCCGTTTTTAAAATTAAATTTCCTTTGTATTTGCGGCTAGGGCCGCAAGACAATACAATCACGACGATTGGCTGTCGATTTTAACGGAGCAAAGTAAAAACAGAAAGAATGCTACCACGATTCTGTTCGAGATACATAGGCAAAACGAATGAGACTTAAGCCTCGAGGGGGGGAGAAAGAAATGTTAAAGAAAAATGGCGGATGAGAAGGCCAGTGGAATAAAATAAAATATCGGATTCCCCACGTACGACTGACGCGGCATTTGGCGGAAGATCTGTTTGATGTTTTCTCCGCAAGCCCGGCAGCGATGCTCATTTCTTCTATGTATTATACATATGAAACATATTCTACTGGATACACGAACAAGGAACGTAATGGTTACGAACTGCACGACGATTCATACAGGAGTAATCCGATTATTTCTGTATCTGCTAGAATCATGTACGACCGTTGTAAAAATATCGTGTTGTTTTCGGGTTCCATGGCGCGAGTTTACGGATACTTTGTCTTAAAATCTTTTACCTTTTTAGTTACCTGCGTTCGTTTACCACCAATAATTCGATATTTCACGTGTGTACGTTGTATTTGAAATCACTTTTTCTAAAATAAATTTTCATTCACGGAAAATTATTTGTTTTATATCGACTACGGATTCGATATATACGAATATGTTGGTCATCTTTGATAACATGTGATTTTAGTATTAGCAAATTTCATAGCATCGATGATGAAGTACTAGAAAATGTAATGTATAAAGATATAGCTTTATTAGATTAAATGTCGAAAGGTATAAAAATACTTTTTAAGAATTGAAAAGGGAGTTTATTGATTGAAAAATAAACAGATTTTTTAATTGTTTACACTCCGCATGTCCAATTTTGTATTTGATAATATTTACAATATAGCAATTGATTTATACGAAAAACAATCTTTTCAAAGGCAGTTTAACTTAATTTCGAACTAAATATTATAAATATCGTTAAGCAAAGATTCACGAAGCACTTCACGTTGAGTCTGTAGACATTGAAAACTATTCGGGACAAATTAGGAAGGTCAGGGTGGTATTGTTAGTACTTGAGGCACTCACGCACGTACAGTGAACAAGCGTGTCTTCTCGCGTTTAGATCTGTTACGTGATGCGCATATTTCTCCTGCGGAGTCTGATTAATTAAAGGTTTGCTATTGTTTAATTGCTAAAGATGCATTTTCGAAAAAGATATATAAAATATAAAGAATATATAGATGCTAAATAGCCAAAGCGCTTCTAATAAATTACACTATCAACAAGAATTGATTCAAAATGAGTAATTGAAGAACATATAACTGCAGGCTTTCCAATCAATTTTAATTTAATTGATTAATAATTTTGGTTCTTTAAAATAAATTCAGAAACAGGTAATACAGAAGCAAATATATTTGCGTTTATTCTATTTTACAATTTGCGCCAGTGTTCTATACCCA